GTAAAAAAAAAAAAGGAATTTTGAGCTTTCTGAAGGTAAATGTATATATTAAATTGTTTTTTTTTTTAGCTCTAGCTGATAAGCATATGGGAAAAGACACTTAATATTTGATGAAGAAGAGGAAGAGGCTGAAGAAGTAGAGACCGAAGGGAGCTGGGATGGTTTCAGGAACTGAGATGTGTCCCCTCAGCTATTGGGTATGAGGAACTATCCAGGAAGAGCCAAGCTAGGATACAGCCCACAGGAGGGGAGGAGGGGAATATATGGGCTCCATTGCCCAAAATAGCTCTTGGTAACCTGAGGAATTGGAGTCAAGGGTTGAGGTGGGGTCACGTGCCCGGGTCTGGCACCAGGATGGAGGTGAAAAGGAAGTTGCCAGCCTTGGGGCAGCTGGAAGGAGGAGGAAGGGCTAGAAGAGTTATTTTTAAGCGTATTTAGAGCAAGAAAGAGGATTTCCCAGTAAAGAGGGAAGGGATGTGATGTAGGTTGCACTAATACTTCCAGGGCTCAGGGTGAAACCCATGGTGGGAGAGGACAGAACTGATGACTAAGTCTTCTTTTTCAGACAGAGCTAGATTCAACTACTGAATTTATACTGGGCTAACTCTAGGAGGAAGCTTACCTTTCTTTAATCTTTGGTTTTCATTTTTTTGAAAAAATTTATGACTTACTATGTGCACAGTGCTGTAGTAACTGGTTGGTAAGTAAAAATTTTCAAGTGATGATGTTTCTTTTTGAGGAGCTTCTAATTTAACAAGGATATGCATATATACAAGAAACAAAGAATATAGGATAAAAGACCCTTCAATCAAGAGGGTCTTCCTGGAGGAGATGTGTTTTGAGTCAATACTTAAGGAAATTATTTTATTAATGTAGAATGGCAGGGACATGGCAGTACATTGGTTGTTTCAAATACAGAGAGTGAGCAAGGAAAGGTTAAAATGGCAGTAATTAGCTAATCTAATTAGTAGGGGGACAGCAAGCAAATTGGCTCAGCAGGCCTGCTGGACCTTGGGGATTTTGCAGCAGTTAACTCGGTTAAGATGGAGTGTTAATGAGGTCACAGTTCAGTCTTGTACCCCAGTTAATTTCTTTTACCCAAGCAGGTCCTTACTCCTCACTCTAAGCAGCTGTTTTTCCCTTTTAGTCAGAGGAGGTGGGTTCAGAGGACAGGGTGATGTCAGAATGAATAAATCCCTTTCAAGGTCATATACCCATTTGCTTTTTTTTGTGGGGGGGTACCGAGGCTGAACTCAAGGTCTTCACACTGAGCTACATCCTTAGTCCCTTTTCTATTTTTTATTTTGAAATAATTATTGCCATATTACCTAGGTTAGGCTTGAATTTGCAGTTCTGCCTCAGCCTCCTAAGGGATGGGATGATACATGTGCACCTCCACGCCCACCATAGATTACCATCTTTGAAGTGGAAGGAGATAGTGTACCATGATAGTGGGGAGGGAGATGGGGAGGTCCTCCTTGAAATGCTGGGAGGAAAAATGTTAAGAGAGAAAAAAAGAAATCATTCTATCCTTGGGGTCTCAGATACCCATATCAGGTGGAAGAAAGGGGATGAAAGAAAAAGGAAAGGTGAAGTGCATTTGGTCAATATTTTAAAAAATTTGTTTATGGTGCTGGGGGTTGAATTCAGGGCCTCTGCATGCTAAGCAGGTATTCTACCACTTAGCTACACCCAATAATTATTTAACTAGTAAGCACTGTGTTATGGAAGCAGACTAGGTTTTGTTTTTTTGTTTTTTCTTAATGGATTTGGAGAGATTGGTGATGTAGCTCTGTGGTACAGCATATTTCTAGCCTCTGTGGCCCTCAGCTCAATCCCTGCACCAAAGTGTGTAGATACAGGAGGCTGGTGATCATCCAGACTCACTTCCAGCTTTGCCATTTAACTGCGGAGTTTCTGTATGTGGTAGACAAAGGTGAGAATAACCTCCTAACAAAAGGTTAAATGTGAGCTACCCAGAGTTAAAGTTCCTGCTAATTTGAAGTCCAGATAAGATGGGGTCTAACTTTGAATCAATCCATATCTAACAGAAGAAAGTCCCAAAATTAATGCCCATCTCAAGAGAAGTTGAAGGATTTATATCTGCTTCCAGGGCCATTTCTGGGCAAGATTTCTCCTTTCCACATCGATTAGATGTGCACTGCAACACAGACTTTATTCTATCCTCTGCTCCCCTCCCCATAAGGCTTAGCCAAAGCTCTCCTGCATGTGGGCAACTTGACTACAGATTTATAAGGAAGAGGAAGGCTTGTATCACAGCAATATAAAAGTTTTTCAATTCAGGGCCGAGCGTTTAGCTCAGTGGTGCTGCCTGCCTCACAAGCACAAAGTCCCAAGTTCTATCCCTAGTACCAAAACAGACACGATGAGACTTCTGTGTAATTCTACCTACTTTACCTTGGAGGCTGGGGCAGGATTGCAAGGGTGAACCCTGCCCGCACCATTTAGTAACTTAAAGAGATTCTGTCCTAAATGATTAAAAAAAAAAAGGGTTGGGATGCAGCTCTGTGGAGGCCCTGCATTCAATCCTCAGTATAAATAAGCAGCAGGGCTACCAGTCTTTTTTTTGAGATAAGGTCTCGCTATGTAATTCAGGCTAGTCTTGAATTCATCAAGTTTGTTTTTGCACTGGGGATCAAACTCCAGCCCTTGCACTTTCGAGGCAGGTGGCGGAACCACTGAGCCAAATCCCCGGTTTGAATTCATTAATTAGCCCAGCCTGGCCTTGAACTCCAGTGATGCTCCTGCCTTAGCCTCCTGAATGCCAGTTTTATGCCACCACGCCCGGAACCAGTTTTAGACTATCCTTCCTTCACTTCAACATGGGAGAATTCCCACTGATCTTGTAGCCCCTAGATCCACTTTTTTAAAAAAAAATTTTTTTTGGCTGATCGATTGTTTCTCCCCTTTTATCAAGAGCAAGATCAATTGTTTTCTCGAGTCCCGGGAAATAGTATATTGAGATTTCATTGCCTGGTTTTCTGTTCGTGAAGTCTCTTCTTTCATTGGATGCACACTTTTCCAGACTTTCCCCTGAAAATAAATCTCACTCTTCTCACCTCGACTTGCTCCTGTAAAATTAAATGAGAAAACGATGCCACTCTTCGCCTTAATTTTCTTTACCAGAGACGTAAAAGCGCAGCGCCAGGCACTATGGAGGCCACAGTGATGAACAGATCTTCCAGCTGCACCGGCAGAACACGATAAAAGCGCAGAGACGTCCAGAGGACACACAGACGCCTGCCGCTGACCCGCCCACGAAGTGACCTCTGTGCCTACGTATCAGGTCCTGTGACCCGACTCGCCAAGTAGTTTCTGCTCGTCGACCTCGTCCTGTCCCCGTCCCCCCCACCCCGCCATCTCTGCAGCTTAGACGCTCACCCTACGCCCTTTCTCGCCGGAGTTGGAAACTACATCTCCCGGCAAGCAGCGTCCTCCTTGTCGGTCCCGAGCCCCGGCAGCCGCGTGACCCGAGGGGACCCGAGCTGCGGTCACTGCTTCAGTTTTAACTCCCCGGCCGCGAGAGGGGCGAGAGGAGCTCCAGTCCCGCGCCGGCCTG